TCCAAGGTGTCCAATCGAGCCGGGGACCACTACCACGACCAGGAGGCTGTGGGTGAGTGGTTCGTGTGCCTTTGCTTGGTCCGTTAGGAATCAGGGTCTTTGACCAATTTCTCTCTCCTCTTTAACCAACTACCAGTGGTTCACCAATTGTTTATAGCCCCAAAGGTTGACTTTTTGTCCTCTCCCTTTGGAGTAAACACGCCACGAGGAATGGTGCTTCGACAGTAGGAGTGTACCCCTTAAAATATTGAAGGGGTTTTGTTTTTATCTCCCGTTCATGTCTCCGTGTTTTTGTCCCCGTGAAAGCGTACTGGTTCAAATATAAAAGCTGTGAGACAACCCGGTGGTGGTCAAGTGGTCGTGTTGTCGGACTAGCGGACTAGATATCCCGAGTTCGAACCCCGCTACTACCGTCCATCTTTCCATCTTATGTATTTTCCCAGACAGCCTTTGTATGGCCGTGGCTTCTTTCCTGAGGGTTTACTTTGCCTTTTGATAACCAACAAACAAAATAGGAAGTAAAAACGTTGTAACAAAAAGCATATTTTTACTTCTGTCTTTATTCAGTATAGAGATGTATTTAACTGTCCAGAAAGGATTGTGATCATACAAAGGCTAACTGAGGGAATATAAAAGTGGCGAAGATAAACGGTGATGGTGGGGGTTCGAGCTCGGACCTTCCGGTTAGTATTTGAACCTCAAGCACTTGACCACCGCCACTGTTGAGTTCCCCTGAAAATGAAACATTTGCCCCCCGCATTCTTTGGACTAGGTAAACTCTAGAGTATGATCAGTGAAACTCATGAGCGTGCTGAGCCCCAGTGAATACTCTGTTCATCCGTAAATGTTGAAGTTTCTTATCCATCTACCTCCGGTGACCAACTCTTTCCAGTATATTTGAATCAAGTTTTTTTTGCAGACTATTCGTATTGCAGGGTCTTGAAGTTAGATTTAAAGGTAACTAACCTCGCATGCCATTGTATTTGCCACACTCTGATTATGTGACTTAATTATTCATGCAACTATTTCAATGCATTTCTCAGGTTCGACTAGATCTGGACAGTTTGAACTTGTTACCAGTCCTTGGACCGGTCGACCATTCGAGCGGGAACGACAACGCATTGTTTTTGGCCGCCGCTCGAGCCCTAGATCGCACTGTGGCCGAACCAGAAGCCTACCGATGGTCGTCGGCCACGGGCCAGTATCATACAATTCATGCCTACTCGGCAAAAGCCAACAACACTTTGTCCAAATTGTGCCCCTATCCAGTTCCACCGCTTTATCGTTTAGGTGTTCTGGCTCATCGAGTAAGTCTGTTTGCGGTCTGTTGACCACTGTCTTGTCCAATTTCGTTTTAATTATGGCATTCAATTCTTAAGCTTTTCATTTTTAATCGGACATCGTTCTAATATATATATATATAAATCACAAAATGTACAATTCAATTTCCGTTTCCTAAACATAAAAAGTCTGTGCTTTATCTGGTTGAATATCTTCATTGATCATTGTCCATGGTTACCCGATAGATTCAAAACATTTTCCTTCTGGAATGCACAAGCGATGTGCCTATTGTTAAGCTATTTAACCGATTGTGTTAATCGTTTTGCCCAATTAAAAAAGACTCGTTCAGGTTGCTGCGAGATTTAACATTAGTACTTTCTGATGCGAAAGCAAACTTGTATAATATTTTTCTATAGCTTTCCTGAAGTGATCCAGTCAGTTTTCTACCGGTTCATCGCTTACGCTTCGTGTTTTTGCGTTACACATAAAGTGAATCTTTCACACTATGTCAAAGTCAAAGTCAAAGTTTTATTATGGGAACTAATTACAAGCGGTTGCTTTTCTAGTCTCATAGGATTTGGCACAGATGAATCGGTTCACAATACATACAAAGTAGATGAATGTCACAATTTTTCGTGC